AGACACGGTAGGTTGGACCCATTGCCCTTCCAACCTTGACTTCCCTTGGTTTCCTCCTCTGTGGAAGACATGGCATCTCACCTCCCTTGCGGCTGGGGGTTCTGGGGCATGGTTCTGGCCAATGTTGAAGAAGCACCAGCCCACCAGGGATTTCTGGAAAGCCTTAGCCCTCTCGAAGCTGGACAGCCGCCTTCCTTCTTCGTGCATGGCTGTAATGGCTGGAACTGCCATCTTGGCGCTCAGAGGCAAAGGCCAAAGGAATGAGAGCCCCGCCCCCATGCGCCTCAGGTCACTGGGGTGGCTTTGACAAAATGAAGACTAACACACAGGGTTGCTACTCTGAGTCCAGTATACTTTACACAACACCGGGTGGAGGGCTGCAAAAGGACAGTGTGAGCACACGAACACCTTTCCTGAGATGCATTCTGCGTCCCCTTTCTCTCTCTCTTTTTTTTTTTTAATTTTTTTTAACGTTTATTTATTTTTGAGACAGAGAGAGACAGAGCACGAATGGGGGAGGGTCAGAGAGAGAGGGAGACACAGAATCCGAAACAGGCTCCAGGTTCTGAGCTGTCAGCACAGAGCCTGACTCGGGGCTCGAACTCACGGACCGTTGAGATCATGACCTGAGCTGAAGTCGGACGCTTAACCGACTGAGCCGCCCAGGCGCCCCTCTCTGTCTCTCTTTTTTAAGAGTTTATTTTTAAGTAATCTCTACACCCAACATGGGGCTTGAACCCACAGCCCCGAGATCACGAGTTGCCCGCTCAACCAATGGAACCAGCCATGTGCCTCCGTGTCCCCTTTCTCTTGCTTAAAGTGAGGACTGATGAGAAAGTCAGGCTCAGAGGGACAGGTCAGAGACTCTGTCACTGTAAAACCGTCCGAGTTCCTTGCTATAAGCCACAGAAACTGAGTGACTAAATTAAGAGAAGAGGTCTCAAAAAGGGGATGGGCGCTCCCAGGAGACTCAAGGACTGGGATCAGAGCTGCCAGGGACACAGCCCCAAAGGGAGGAACTTCCCTTGTGTGTGTCTTAACTAGTTCTGCTGCCCAGGCTGTGCTGGGAATCCAGACCTGCCGTGTTCTTCACCACCAGCAGTGGACATGCTCTGGGGTCCCTTGCTTGCCCCCCTACCGCCAGCTACCCACCAAAGTCTGGTGCAGGCCCCTCTGTCTGCTAAGCCTAGACTACTTGCCCTGGCCTTAGTTGCAAAGAGGAGAATAAGGAACGTAACTCTAGCGTAGCATTTTCCATTTCTCTAGTGAGAGGTGGGTGCCTCCTCCTAATAAGACCGTAAAGTCAAGGGTCCTCCAGACATAAGAAAGGGGTTCAAATGCTAGGTGGTGAGGGGGGAAAAAAAAGAGAGAAATGTCCTCCATCTAATGGGACTGGGGCCCAGAGAAGACAGGACGGGTCCCAGAGCTGGCTAGGGTGAGAAGAACTCTCAGCAGAGACAGGGGGCAGGTGGGTCTGGCCAATGAGTGCAGTTTGACTTTGTGGCAGGATAACGTGGTAGGTGAGGCATAACTCCACTGTCCCCATTGCCATAGGGTAAGAGTTGCCAAATGCAAGTCACATACTTGGAGAAACTGCAAACACAGGAAGGGAAATTGAGCAATCTCAAGGAGAAACGAAGTCTACATATGTTCCAGGAGGAAGGGAAGCCTCATTTCTCCCTACCTTTGTTGAGAGATCATTTAAGTGGGGAGGAGGAGGAAGGAAGGCTAACTCATATTAAGCACCTACTATCTTTGAGTGCCAGACAGGCAGGCACTGGACTATTGCTGACATAATCTGCTTTGCTATGGAGAAAGGAACCAACCTGGAGCAAGAAAGGGAAACCATACTGGGTCGCCTGGGTGGCTCAGTCAGTTAAGCCTCCAGCTTCAGCTCAGGTCATGATCTCACAGGTCATGGGTTTCAGCCCTGCATCAGGCTCTGTGCTGACACCTTGGAGCCTGGATCCTGCTTCAGATTCCGAGTCTCCCTCTCTCTCTCTCTCTGTCCCCCCGCCTCAAAAAATATATATTGGGGCGCCTGGGTGGCTCAGTCAGTTAAGGGTCAGACTTCAGCTCAGGTCATGATCTCACGGTTAGTGAGTTCAAGCCCCACGTCAGACTCTGTGCTGACAGCTCAGACCCTGGAGCCTGCTTTGGATTCTGTGTCTCCCTCTCTCTGCCCCTCCCCCACTCATGCGCACGCGCTCTCTCTCTCTCTCTCAAAAATAAACACTAAAAAAATTTTTTAATAAAAATAAATAAATAAACATTAAAAAAATTTTTTTAAAAAGGAAAACCATACAATCTCCATAAGCTGAGGGGTCAGGAAAGACTATTCCACTTGCCACATTCTCTCGGTCTCTCCCAAAATAAATAAATAAACTTAAAAAAAATTTTTTTTAAAGTCATCAGTGATCATTCCATATCAGTATTTAATGCATGCCTAATTCTTTTAGTATCTGCATACTGTCCCACTGCATAAATGAAGCATAATGAATTTAACCAGTCCACTACTGTGGGGGGATAGTTAGGCTATTATGAATCTTTTTTTTTTTTTTTTTTAAAGAGTAGAATCCAGCTCGAGCACTTCTAGCTATGCAACTTTAGGCAAGTTACTTCACCTCTTTGAACTTAAGTCCCATCATCTGTAAAACAGGAGTAATGAGAATCCCTCCCTCACACCTCACAGCATCATTGGGAAGATTGAACGCGATCAGTGTGTAAGGCAGCTAGGAGTCTTCATGGCACAGTGCTTGCTCAGCCTCTGTTCCCTTCCTTTCCACTGTCATGACTCCCCAGAGTCGGTCCCTGTCCTCTGGAAGTGCTTTCTTATTTCCAGTCCCAGGCCTCGGTATCCAGCTTTACCTCCTGGGTCAGTAAGCAGTCTCAACCAGAAGTAAAGGCCTCCTGTGTCCTATCCAGGGGAAGCCTGTGGAGGGGCTCTCTCTGGCTGCTTCTCACGCCCTCATGTTGTCATGTTCTGAAATAGCCACGGGGCCAGCCTGGGCTGTTTGCCTTCCCTAACACTGACCTAGTTGGCAAGCACTGCTGAGAAGTGTCAGGCCCTGGGCCTGGTGCATCCTCGGGATGTTACCACAGAGCAAACACGAGTTTGCTGGCTGGGTGGATTCTAGTCAACAGGAAGATAAAATGGATTAAAGGCAAACAGGAGAGAAACCTCTGCTGTGGAAACAGGAAGAAGGCTGGAGGCTGGCTCTGTTTGGAGGTTTTTTTGCTTTGTTTTTAATGTATTTATGTGATATATAAAACAGCCTTACTGATATTATATAATTCACTTACCATGCACATACGCCCATATGCCCATTTAAAGTGTACAGTTCAATGGTTTTTACAATATTTAAGAGTTGTGCAAACATCATTACAATCAATTTTAGGACAATTTCATCACCCAAAAAAGAAACACTATGCCTGTTAGCACTCCCCGTCCTGTTCCCACCCCCACCTCTTCAGTCCTAGGCAACTACTAATGTACTTCCTGTCTCTATGGATTTACTATTCTGGATATTTGGAATCCTATACCAAAAAAAAAAAAAGGACAGAAAGAAAGAAAAGAAAAGAAAAGAAAAGAAAAGAAGAGAAGAGAAGAGAAGAGAAGAGAAAAGAAAAGAAAAGAAAAGAAAAGAAAAGAAAAGAAAAGAAAAGGAATCCTACAATAAGTGGTTTCATGTGATCAGCTACTTTCAATTAAGCATAATGTGGTGGGTTTATTTTATTTTTTTAAGTTTTTATTTATTTCGAGAGAGAGAGAGCATGAGAGGGGGAGGGGCAGAGAGAGGGAGAGACAGAATCCCAAGCAGGCTCTGCACTGCCAACACAGAACCTGATGCAAGGCTGAAACCCATGAACCATGAGATCATGACCTGAGCTGAGATCAAGAGTTAGATTCTCAACTGACTGAGCCACCCAAGAGCCCCAAGCATAATGTTTTCAAGGTTCATCCATGGTGTGGCATGAATCAATACTTCATTCCTTTTTATTGCCAAATAATATTCCATCATATGGATATACTACATTTTGTTGATCCATTCATTAGTTGATGGACATTTGGGCTGTTTCTACTTTTTGGCTATTATGAGTAATGATGCTATGAAGATTCATGTATAGGTTTTTGTGTAGACATGTTTGCCTTTCTAGTAGGTATGTATCTAGGAGTGGAATTGCTGATTCATGTGGTAACTCTACGTTTAACTTTTGGAGGAATGCCAGACTGTTTTCCAAGTGGCTACCCTGTTTTACATTCCCACCAGCTGTTTGTGAGGGTTCCAGTTCCTCCACATCTTCACCAACACTTGTTATTATCAGTTTTTTCCATCCTCGTGAGTATGAAGTGGCATTTCATTGTGGTTTTGCTGATGACTAATGATAATTGAGCATCTTTTCATGTGCAATTGGCCATTTTTATATCTCCTTTGGAGAAATGTTGATTTAGGTCCTTTGCACATTTTTAAAAATGTTTTTTTTTTTTCAACGTTTATTTATTTTTTGGGGGACAGAGAGAGACAGAGCATGAACGGGGGAGGGGCAGAGAGAGAGGGAGACACAGAATCGGAAACAGGCTCCAGGCTCCGAGCCATCAGCCCAGAGCCTGACGCGGGGCTCGAACTCACGGACCGCGAGATCGTGACCTGGCTGAAGTCGGACGCTTAACCGACTGCGCCACCCAGGCGCCCCATCCTTTGCACATTTTTAATTGGGTATTTGTTATTTTTATTGTTGATTGTAGAAGTTTGTTATATATCCTCATAAAGGGCTTATTTTAATCTTTTTGAAATTACGGTTTTCTCAGTCATATGTATACTCATATTAGAGTAGCAATGTGTGAGAGGGAAATACACACACACAAGCAAATGATTTTCAATACCAAGTGAACAAAGATGTGTCCAAAGCATGCTGGGAGTGTGGAGAAAGAGGTGATCTCTTTTGTCAAGGAGGGATAATGAATGGTGTGAAGAGAGACTGGGAATTATGGTGGCTTCATGGAGGAGATGATATTTCAGCTGGCCTTGAAGAGTGAGTATGAGCTCGGCAGGTGAGCAAGGAGAGTAAATAGAATGTGCAACATCATAGAGGTTTAAAATGAATAAGGGGGGAAAAAGAGAGAGAGGGGGACAGAGAGAGAGGCAAACCAAGAAACAAACTCTTAACTATAGAGAAACAAACTCTTAACTATAAACTGATGGTTACCAGAAGGGAAGTGGATGGGGGGATGGGTGAAATTGGTGGCGGGATTAAGGAGTGCACTTGTTGTGACAAACACTGAGTAATGTATAGAAGTGTTGAATCACTATATTGTACGTCTGAAACTAATATTACACTGTAGGTTTACTAACTGGTATTTAAATAAAAACTTTAAAAAAACCACAGAGGTTTAAATAGGGCATGGCGAGCTCCTCTTGGAATGAATCAATAGATTTCTGTAGGACAGTCTGACTCCAGCCCTTCTTTAGGTTCCGAGTGGGTGTGGAATAGGCTAGGGAATAGAGTTCACCCCAAAGCAGGAGGGTGCTGTTTAAGAGCTCACTCTGATTTTTTAGTGCGCAAGGTCCACGCTGGGCCTGATCCAGCCCACACGCAAACTCTCAGATGGTACAGAATTCTACGTCCTGTCAAAGAGTCTGCAAGAGGGACCGGTACCTGTGGAGAGGGGTGGGGTTGGCACCAACAAGGGGATTGGTGAGCGTGGAAGGGAGGGGCCCCAGAAGATGCACCCTGTTTGTTCTACAGCACTGTTTGTCCTTACATCCTACCTAGTGTCTACACACTTGTAATGAGTAACTACACAAATGACGTCAAAAGCTGAACTCTCGGTGCAAAGCAGATACTCTTCTTCAGTTCCTAAGTGCCAGACCACATCCCATTGCCCCTGGACCCTTGTCCTCTGGAAGTTGGGGAGAGGCCAACCACAGTTTTTCTAGAAGATCCAGGGGAGCGGCCAACTGGTTGTGAATTTAGTCCCTGCTCCTCTTGTTTGGGTTTGATCTGCTGCCCCAGGTGTGTGTCGCAGTGTGAGAGTGTGGGCTGTCCCTCGAGAAGCCTCCTGATGCAAATCACTGAAAGCCCAACTCAAAACGGCGTACACAACTGTGAAAGGAATCATCTCGTATAGCAAGAATTCTGGAGGTCAGATGATTCCAGTTAGTTAATTGACCAGCAAAATTGAGTCACTAAGGGCTCAGGTTCTTGCCACCTTACCTTCAGAGTACTGGTTTGTCCTTCTAGGCCAGCTCCCCACACGGTCCTAAGATGGCTGCTGTAGCTCCGTGCTTCACACTGCAGACAGCAATGGCTAGAGTTAGAAAAGCGCTGTGTTTCTCCATTTATCTCTTTACAGAGGCAGAGAAGGCTACTTTCTTTTCCCAAAGCCCCCAGCCGACTCCCCCTCGTATCTTAACGCCTAGAATGGCTTCACAACCCTTTGCCCATCAATCACCGGCAAAAAGAACAGACAACCAGGATTGGTTTAGAGTTTGACCAATCAGGATTCAGGCCCTGGGGCTGGAGAGGAGGCGTGGCTCCCCGGAAGGAAGCTAAGATCCCCTGATGCCCAGGTAAAGCTGGGTTGTGTTGGGTGGGCAGCTTACAGTGTTTGCCACACACAGAGCTCTGGTGGGCAAGCACATGCTTCATAGGCTGTGTGAGAACAAACTTCCATTGGAATTCACGCATACGTAAAGTAAATATATTTTACTTTTATGAGCTCTCTTTTGTTCTCTCTGAAAAAAAATTTTTTTTAATGCTTAGAGAGAGAGAGAGACAGAGCACACAAGGGGGGAAGGGCAGAGAGAGGGAGACAAAGGATCAAAGAGCTGAACTGGCTCCGCTCTGACAATAGAGAGCCCAACCAGGAACTCGAACCCACCAGCCATGACATGACCGGAGCCGAAGTTGGAGGCTTAACCAACTGAGCCACCCAGGCTTCCCTGATTCTTTTCTACATGTTTTTTTTGTTTGTTTTTTTTTGAGAGAGAGAGAGAGAGAGAGTGTGTGTGTGTGTG